GTGCTATTTTCCACTGAGCGTGGCCACTTATTCCAGTGTCCAACAGAATGATTAGAAAAACAGTAGTGTTAATTAGCTACTCCTAAACAGACTGAAAGCAAGATGAAATCCATTAGTGGTTTAGAGGAAAAGCAATTCAGTGACCGGGAATGAGGAGAGCAAGGTAAGAGGTTTCCTGTGAGAAAAGGTTTGCAATGAAACATAATTGAGTGGTTCCTTTTTTCCGTCTTCCACAACCCATTGAATTAAGCATGTAACCAAGCTGAGCTGATTGCTTCTCTGCCTTAAGCGTGGTTTTTGGTGAGATTTACTGGCACCAACCATTTCTTTATGCCAAAAAGTCAGCCCAGCAGTGAAAGTGCCACTGGGGATTGGTATCAATGCAAGGGGCACAAGGTGCACCTGCAATTGGTGTGGGTACATGAATTTTGGTAATGGCAAAGGAAATAGGGCACTTGGGGTGAACCTGGAGAAGGTGGTGGTGGTTTCTGCTGGGGAAAGCAGTCCTCACAGCTCCCCTTATCAGTGTGTTAGCCAGGCTGCTGTACTTAGACATCACATAGACAGCCTGGGATGTTTAGGTGGAATTAAGACAGCTCTCTTGCTGCTCCCACTCTCTTCCTGGACAATACTTCACCTTCAGCCATCCCCAGCCAAGGAGACTGATGGGATGCTTCTACGTTTCAGCTGCCCACAACAGCTTCCCTGCCCCCAAACCAACGATACTGCAATGAATGGCTATTTTAAACAACGGGCAGTGGGAAGAGGTGAAGGGCCGGGAGCCCAAATAAGAGGCTGTTGTGGTTATTACAGCAGCAAAGCTTGGGCCGATTTAGCAGGCACTTCACTTACACCGAGTACAGCCCTGCCCCCAACAGGCAGCCGATGGCATCGAGGTCATGAGAAGACATTAATCTGCAATCTCACCATCTGTATCGCTACCATCTGGAAAATGTATTGCGGCCAGATTCTTGCACAAGGGAACTGAGGGGAAGTTTGCTGCTTTCCTGAGTAAGAAATTGCGGTCAAAGGCTCTCACACAGGTGAAGTGTCAGTGCGAGGCAGATGAAGCCCCAGGCACCTGTTCCTTGTTACATGGGATCCAGCACACGGCAGTTTGCTGGCCCTGCACTGTGCACCCCCTGGCTCCTGCACCAGTTGCTCATGGACGGCATCCTCTTCAGCAGATTTCCTGCCCAAGTCTTGTTCCTTCTTTCTAGAAAGTGCAGAGGTCTTCACATGAGACTCCATGAAAGGCACATCTATGCTGACAAAGCTGTCTTGATTACAGGAAGGGAATTGGGAGAGGGGCCATTGGTGGTATGAGGTCAGTGGCTTTGTGCCACACTGCCTCCAGTTCTCCATGTCTCACCTGACATGGGTGCCAGGGACTCTGGAAGCCAACACATCCAAGCAGCAGAGCTGAACTTCCCAAACCACACTTTCCCCACGCTGTGTCCACACAGAGGGCACATGTGCCTCTCTCCTAGAGGCTCTGCCTTTCTGCCACATCCACGCTCTCTACTGTGTTGTGCTATTCTGTTGTGCTCACTGTGTGCACACTCAGTACAGCTCCAGAAAAAAACAACAGTAGATACTTAGAAGCATGCTTCCCTATGCAAAAAAAAAAAAACAGAACACACATGAACAACTCAGTCTGATTGCTGACATACTACACCTCACAATGCATCACCCAACAGGCTCAGGGCAGCATCAGTTGCTTTGAATCCACTTATTCCAATTGCAGAGTTTGATTATATTGAACGCTTACTAGCATGTACAAGAAAAAAAATCTGTTGTCATTGGCTGTGTCATCACCCAGCCCTGGCAAAGTCCTTCTACATCCAGAAGATTGTACAACAACATAGCCTTCTGTATTATAATTATAGGACTAGATCTTCATGGTTGAAGTGTGGGAAGGAATAGAAATAAGGCAGAGGATGTTTGCTTTGCTGCCTTGTTAAAGGTGGTACAACCAAAGGTCACTCAGTGTGTCACATGAAGTTTGACATCATCCCACGTAGGAATTCCTCCTGTTTCACACCACAACCAAAACCACACTGTCTAGTCTTGCATAGTGCACTATATTTTATCAACACAAAAACAGGTGTAATGTGCTAGCATCCTTCCATCCTAGGATGTGGTATGAGGCTGAAGAAAGTGTAAAGAGCTGAGGAGCTCTTTAAAGAAAAAGAGAGTGGATTTTTCTGGTTTTGTTTCTTGTAACAAAGTCATCCACATGTCAGAACAGGCAGACTACTCCTAGTAAAGCTCACCTGGGATTCAGTAGGCAAAAGCCTTGTCCTGCATCACTGTCCTCTTGGCAGTGAATGGCTATAGTACTATAGCCCAAGTTGTAATCTACAGCTATACGGATAGGAAGCTTGCAGGGCCTTTTTGTGTGCCCTTAAAGGACCAGAGCCCCTGCAGGGAAAAGTCTCATTGTTGTGAATTTGTAGGAGCTGAGACTGAAGCCTCTTGTTTGGCAACCAACCCAGCAGACCCATTGCAGGGCCGTAATGCTATAATATGATGGAAAGTACAGCAATAATAGCAGAGCAGCAAAATTTGAGACTACAGCAAATAAGAACAAATCCAAATGCAGCAGCAACAAATACAGAAACAAAAGAAAAAAAAACTGCTTACCTTTAGAAGACCTCAAGTAGGCAGAGATCTCCAGCAAGATACCCTCACCTCCTATACCAGCCCTTAAATGAGGTCTGGGAAGGGCTGGATCCTGGTTCCACCCTTCCAATCACTCAAGTACACTGCATGCACCTGAGCTCCCCTGGGTTGGCCCTGCCTTCCACCAGGTGCTCAATCACTGCTTCAGGCCACGACTTAGCATTTCTGCTGCCTGCCCTCAATGGATGGGAGCATAGGGCAGAGCAGTTCTGTGACTGCTAAGTACATAACAGTGACCACATTATTGAACAACTGCCAGCACTATTTTTCTACTGGTTTAAGTAGAGAAAAGTCAATGGTGTTTTCAGTAGAAAATTCAAAGTCCTTCTAGGCTCATTGACCTCAGCGTGTTGATCAGCGCGTTGATCAGCATGTTTACACGCTCGCTCCTTTTCTGGCTCTCAGGGGAGAAGCTCTCTGTTCTCCTCAGCTCAGAGCAGTTCTCCCCAGCACCAGGGCTGCCGTATGGCCACAGTGGGTCACTGATCCCAGGTGCAGGCTGCCCCTTGGCCTTCCACTGCACTGTGCCTTGCGATGGACAGGACTTCTCCCCAAAATGGCCTTCAGGACCCCACAGGTAGACCTGTGGACAGGACACATGCCCACACCGTGAGAGCTCCTCATCCTGCAAGAGCTCCCCACCGTGCAGTGAGACACCACAGCCACATGTTGGTGGGTGACAGCTGTGCAACCTGTGAGTCACTGCCCTTCCTGTCCCACTTTGCATGGCAGAGTTCATGCCTGAGCACACACACTGGGGTGAGTGTGGGCACTACCAGCTTGGAGACAGCCAAGGCTGAAGGCTTTGCTTTCCCCACAAACACGGTCAGCAGGAGAAAGCAGAGCACTTGTGCCCACCTGGCTGGAGAGGAGACCTCTTTGGGCCTGGTGAATGGTGAGCGCAGCTACAGCAAATTGCTCCTTTCAGCCTGGTGTCATCATTCTACTGCTGAAACAGCAGGGTCTGTGTGTAGAAGTGCATATGTGGCAACGTGGCTGTGTCCTGTGCTTCATAAGATTCCTTATAACAGCTTAACTTGCTTCACTGCCAGTGCAAACACTAGGTGCTCCATCACAGGGGGCATGGGCATGACACCCCCAGCCCCAAAGGAGCAGTCTGGCTCCAGGCTGAGAACCACCTAACTTGGATGACTCATTACCATACTGGTTTCTCACCTTCTGTGGACACAAACATGCTTATCAACAAGTCTCCCAAGGAAGGAAATTATGCTGCTGTGATAGTTTCCACTGCATCATTTCTACCAGACACTGAAGCCCACTGCTACCCTGAACCCCCCAGGGAACTCTTTGCTCCCTTCCCCTGTGCCTTTTTCCATTCAGCACATCCCTGTGCTTTTTATGGGGTGAATGCAAGGTATGTAAGCCTCCATGTAAGCGGAGCAGTGTGAGTGGGTTTCATCTCCATGACCTTCTGTTGGGTGCCCTGATCTGCATCTCCAGGGCACCCACTTTGTGAGCAAGTGGAGTACCTTGTGCACTCTTTCATGAACAGCCAACCACTGACAGCTGCCCTGCAGCACAGAGATGTTACAGCTGGTTGGGTACTGAGGGTTAGTGGGCTGGTTGGGTACTGAGGGTCAGTGGGCAGCGAGGCCATTCCACATCAGCCCTAAGGCATGCTCATTGCTAACACCAGTAAGACAGTCCATCTCTGGGCCCTTTGGGGTTTACAGATGCCTCACCCTCATCCACTTCTGCCAAAGCAGGATCTGACAAGTGAAGTTCTACCCCAAGACTGTGGCAGAGACCCCCAGGCCCATGGCCAACCTGAAGGCAGGGGAGCAGCTGCAGCCCTGCCATCACAGACACCTGCCGCTGCACCACTGTCCCATGCAACAAACCCATCCCAAGGGGCTGTTGGAGCAGCCACGTCCATCTGAGGAGGCTGTGAGATGTTCTCCACCTTAGGGATTGCCTGTGCCACGCACTGAACTGCCTAGGACTGCACAAGGATGGCCTTGCACCTTTGGCTGCTCAAGTGAGCCAGTAACAGATGTTGCACCTTCCTGGCTGTGCCCAGCTTGGCTGTCAGCACAGCAGCTCAGCTCTGCATTTACTGAGTACACCTGCTAGCCAATGACCACACTTCTAGGTAGTGCCAAGTGATGAGGCACTGAGTCCTCATGGAAAACATTACAGCCAGCAGATGATCTTATCTTTCAGAACAAGCGGACATGAGATCCTTCCTCACGCAGGAGGAGGAGGTGCTATAGAAGCCTTCAAGTACTTGCGAGCTGTCAGTTCAGGTGATCATGTGTGTCTGATCACAGCCCTTCTTGCCCTCCTCCTGCTAGGTTGCTGCCGGGACCTGCTGTGACTCTGTGGCTTTATACCTGCAGGTAACTTCACCCTGTCTTGTTCTCTTGCTTTGCATGCTCAGGGGCTTGCTGTAGTGGGGAGGAGGTGAGGAAGCTCAGTGCCTGGCTTCTCTGATTCAGCACAGATGCTGCCGTGCATGGTCCTGCTCAGCAGCTGTACTGCTGAGATGTTCCTTTCCTGTGCTTACTGCAGGAAGAGCAGAGCAGGCTGCTTTCTAACAGCAACTGGTGGCTAGAAACTAAGCTATTCCCATTGTCACCCCAGCAGGTATTGGCCACCACCGTGCTTCTGTGACACCTGTTGTGTCCCCAGCCTCTATCTCACTTGCTTTCTCCAAGCTCCCTGCTTAAGGCCAGGTAAAAACTGGAGAAAAATGTGCTCAGCCCTGGTCTTGCTCCCACCTCCCAGCTTCCCAGCCTGCCACAGTCTGTGGCAGACACAGTGCTGTGCTGTGGTGGTGTCCCTCTGGCCCCTGCCTGCTCCCACTCCTGCAGGAGCACTGAGATGCTCTGTAACTGCAGCCATCAACTCATCACCTCTGATCCACATTAAGCATTTTCAGCAGCTGGAGGATGTGCTAGTTTATCGCACAGCATCTCTTTGAAGAAGCTTACTGTTCACCCATACTTTATCTGTGTCTGCTTTCACACCCTTTGTCAGTTTCCTTCCTCTTCCTGCAGCCTGTGAGCTCCTGGCCAGCAACACTTGCAAGCCCTAAGCTGCAAGGCAGGTTGCTGGGAACTGCATTGGGACCACATCTTCAGCTCCAAAGCCAACATCAGCCAGAGCCCTTCACGCTGCAGGGCACACTGGTGGTTTGCCTGTGCCGTACTTCAGCACGGAGGCTGTGCTGGCAGTGCACACCACAGCCAACATAAAGCAACCTGGGAATCAGCCACACCTGCAAAGATGTGGTAAGCTTGACATGGCAGCTGCACTGTGGAGGAAGGTGTTTCCCTCCTGCTACTTACTGAGGTTCAGAGAGGTTTTCCTTGGGTGACAGCTAGCAGGCAGCAAGCAGCAATCTCTGTTGGGAAACCCACACTTGAGCACGTAATAATCATGTGAGAGCTCTGTGCAGGAGTCACATTAATGTCTGCTGGTGATGCTTGTCTAACCCCCTAGCTTGAGGCATTTATCAGTCAGCAGGCCTGCAGCTGGAGGTAGCACGCTCACCACCTGAGCACAAGCTCTGTGTTCTTCTCAGGGGCAAATAACTGCTTAACCAGGGCTCTGCTGTCACACTGTCCTCCTGCAACTCTGAGGATTTCACCAAATCGCCCACCATTTCATAGTGTGGTAAAACCTTGCTTTAAAAATCAAACGTTATATTCTTTCAAATGTGCACTGAGATGCAAGCAGAAGTTCCACAACATCACTGATTCAGAGAAAACCCTTTGTGTAGGACACACAGAGCTGCTTTGCATAAGATGGAGCCTGACAAAAGCTGGTCTTATCAGATCTTCGTACAACCAGCACTGCTGTGAAGCATCTGGCAGCCAGTGAGGCAGAGGCTCAGGACCTACTCTTATGTCTCATGGGTTTCCCAGGGTGTTTGCCCTGAGAAGGAAACACTTAAGCCCTTACTTGCAGCTCCTTGTCACGCATAACCATTTCTTCTTTCGGGTAAGTCTTTCTGCTTTACATCTGCAGACTTTCACTCTCTTCTGGAATGAACAGATTTAACGTTTGTTCAACCCTCCTTCCCTGCAGTGAGGATGAGAGCAGCGTGTCTCAATCACTCCCTTTGGGTTTTGTCATGCCTTTGGGATGCAGGACTCAGATTCTGCTCTGTTTTCCTCAGCTCGGAGCAGGAGCAGCAGGTCCAGGAGACTCATTAGAAGAATTTCTGCTCAGGGGTTACGCATACTTAGTGCTGGCTGCTTCAATCCCTGCCTATCTCAAAACCGAGTCTGAATCATTTTGCCTGCACAGGCTGGCTTAGAGAATTAGTACTGACATTATCACAGGTTGTCCTGGTATCCATGTGTTCTCTTCTGCATGTCATTTCCCCCCTCATTCAACAGCTCCTATTTAATTGAGGCTGCCTGCTGTGTCCTATTGGAAGTGCTCCCAGAGATATTTACTCATAAACTGAGTAAATACAAACAGAGCTTGAGACACATCCATCCCAATTACAGGATGACTGAGAAAGCTAATCCTGTGGACCCAAATTCACATTTATAACAGAATAAATATTTCCTTAAATGACCTTTTTATAGGAACCACGCACCTACTGAGAGGTAGGAGGGTCTTACCATTTTTCCCCATTTCAGGTCTCAGACCATCACATGCCATCCACCTATCAGGACAATGAATGAATCCAAGAGCTGCAGTCTCACAGACATAGAGGTGAATCCCCACGTCCATCTCACTGAATTTTCTCTATATATCCTCACTTTCTTTTTTGGAGTGATTTTTAATGTCCTCGCCCTGTGGGTGTTCTTCTGCAAAATAAAGAAGTGGACAGAAACCAGGGTGTACGCCATCAACTTGGTCTTTGCCGATTTCTTTGTCATCTGCACCTTGCCTTTCATGGCATATTTGATCTGGAAAAAGTCAGTTCGAAATGAACTCTGCCAGTTTATAGAGGCAATGTACTTCATCAACATGGTAGTGAGCATCTACATCATTTCATTTATCTCCATCGATCGGTACCTGGGCATAAAGCACCCCCTGAAAGCTCGGGCCTTCAGGTCTCCATCCAAAGCTGCTCTTCTCTGTGGGCTCCTGTGGCTTGCTGTCACCACTGCAACCATCTTAAAACTTCAGCAGAGATATGCTGACTTCTGCTTTCAGTACGATGCCAGCACTCCCACCGCTCTGATACTGCTTTCCATGTTCTTCATTTTCACTCTTCCATTAGCAACCTTGACCTTTTGTTCCATAGAAATCATCAGAAACCTTAGGAGACAGCTGAAGACAAACTCACCGGAGAAGAAGTCAATCCAGAAAGCTCTTTATATCATTTATGCCAATCTGATTGTGTTTCTGCTATGTTTTCTGCCATCCCACCTCCTGCTCATTGCCAGGCTCATAACGAATCACACTGAAACTACCTGTTCCCTGAACCACTTTTTGAAGAACTTCTCGTCCATGACGCGGTGCATTGCCACGTCCAACTGCTGCCTGGACTGTGTCTGCTACTACTTTGTGACCAAGGAGTTCCAGGAAGCCATCCTGCTGCCCAAGTCCAGCGCTGCCAGAACAATGCAAACCCATTCTGTGCAGACACACGTTTGCTAAAAAAAGGAGAAACTAAACAAAACGAAACCACAATGAAACCAACAAATTCTACCATGTCAAGAGGAGATATGGCTGCGCTGTCATGGGGATAACCATCCCCCTTTCACTCCAAGGAGAGCTTTGTTACGTGTATCATTGTTAAGCTGTAATTTCTACCCTGTGTTTCTGTTAAGCTGATAAAACATTTTACATAGAGGTGCCAAAGTGACTCTGCAATGGCAGTGCGTAAACGTTCCCTTCCCCTCCGTGTGTTACTCTTATGGGAAGAAGGGTGGCCCATGTATGTCAGTCACGCTGTTTTATTTCACAGCTAAAGTCAACTCAACCTAAAACACAAAAGCCAACAAAAAAGCCTGTACTGTGCTTTATCTCATGGTGTATCTCAGATTGCTTGCATTAAAACAATCTGATGGTGCCAGGCTGGACCCCAGGTTTGCCCTGCTGGCAGCAGTGCAGGCTCAGGGTAGCATCGCACAGCTGGACACAACTGGACTCAGCTGGACTTCCACAGCCTGCCCACATTGTCACCTCCCACATTTCCATGGGTATAAAGCATTTGTGCTATGAGTAAGCAGCTCAGAAAAGCCACTGGGGAGAACAAGGGGGGAGAGGGGGTAGGGGATGATCCCTGTGTGTTCTTCTTTGCTGCCTAGGAAAGGGCTTTTTTCTTTTTAAATACTGACAAATCTCAGTAACTGCTGCCAAGTGCTGCCCAGGCACTGCCTGAAGAGAGCAGAGCACCAGAAACTGCTGTGAGGGAGCCCTGCTGTGTCCTGAGCCCTCCCTGCCCATTTGCACAATTTCCCCACCTCCTGACACCCACAGAACTCTCCCCTCCATGCCAGTGTCTCCTACCTGTGCCTGGTTGGCCATGATTGCCATTTCTGGTGTGGCTTATCCCATCACATCGATGAGCCACGGTAAAGAAGCATCATGCAGAGGACAAGCAGGACCACCACATCTGCACTCACCTTCCAAACAAACAAACAAACAAACAAAAAACAACAAAGAGCAACATGCCAGGACCCTTGCTCTGGGCCCACCTTGTCAGGTGCACAAGCACTGATGTGCCCCCTAGGAAAAGCCACTGCTCCTCCCTCTGCTTGCTTACTCTGCAACCACACCCAAGGCAGCACGGTATGCTGGGCTCCCGCCGGGTCCTTCTGCTGCCAAATGGGCAATTTGCAACCATTGTGGGTTTTATTTTAGAAAGGGTTTGGTTTCAGACCACTGAAAATATTAAATTTTAATTGCTCGTTCGCGTGCATGGAAGCAGAGGGAGAGCAGGTTGGGTGCAAAAACGAATGGTGGTGAAGCACTGAGCTGATGGAAGAGGAACAACAGAGGGCACCAGAGCCTCAGCCGTTCTGAAGAGGAGGTGGTAAATGAAGCAATTTTGGGGAACAAGAGCTCATTACTGCGCTCCAGCGCTCCTGAGCTGTCAGCAGCAGGCTCCTGGGCAGCTCTGCCCAGCACAGCATCACCCCACTCAGCATCACTCTGCACAGCACCCACACCCCTGGCATCTCCTGAGCAACTGCAACCTGCCCGAGGACCTGACCCGAGGACAGCCCCACAAGAAGTAGGTAACTTTCAATTCTTCTTGCGCAGTTGTGTGGCAGTGTGCTCTGTTTCCTGAGCTCCTTCAAAAGTGCTGCCCAGGGCTCCCCACTCGCTAGCAGGGGTACAGAGGTGCCTCAGTCTCTTCCTGCCTTCACTGATGTGCTCTGCTGTTTGGCAGCCACACATGCTAGCTATCCAGGGAGGTCATCATCCCATGCTGTGGCCATGTACCACTCCTCTCCACGCACCTTCTGTGAGGGGACACCCTGCTCTGGGCACACTGAGGCATGGGACCAGGGGATTGCTGTGGGCTCAGCACTCACATGGAGGATTCACAGGGCTCAGCTGCTAGGTGGGACAGTGATTTGCAGGCAGAAAGCAGCACTTCCAGTGCAGGATAGTGACAGCGGGCTGGCAGGGAACAGCTGTAGCGTGGATAGTAGCACCGTGCAGCCAAGGACCTGGGATGCTGGAAGCTCACAGGAGCCAGGACATTGGCTGCATGTCAGCCCTTCCATATAAATTCCATTCTGAAAACTGTATCTCTGTAATACCACCCCAACTCTGGCACTGGGGCAGGTGCTGAGCTTTTTTCTGGCATTGTCAGATCCAGCTTCCAGTTTTGGACGCTAAAAATGATCCATGTAGTTCATGCAGTCAGACTGTTTCTCCACAGTTTAGATATTAGGCCTTAAAAGTCACTGACTTATAAGGCAATGTATCTGTAACAGATGACAGGAATCTGATTGTTTCCTTTTCGTGCTTCTCTGTAACTGCAGACTGAGTCTGATTCACCCTCCCTGGTCTTTGCAGCTAGTGGATAGTAGCAGATGCCCTGAACTATTTACGGAGGCATCAGGAGATAGGCTAGAATCTTGGATTTGTGTTTTCTGCACTGGCAACAGTTTGGCTTCCTATGTTGAAGGCTGAGATCAGGCAGGCATGTCCATTTTCCCCTCCTGGTGTCAAGCCATACATCTCCAGCAGCCTGAAGGAGGAGTGGCAGTGCCCATGGCACGCAGTGTGCTCCAGGAGTAAAGCCACCAGAGCTGTCCCACGACTGGAAGGACCTGAGTCCTACGTGAGTTCGTGGGCATAGCAAGACCCAACACAGCCATCGGGTGGCTTTGGCAGTAAAGCAAAGGAGGAATGCTGCCCTGCTCTGCTTTGAGCTGTCCTAAAGCAAGAGAGCCAATAGATCTCCAATAGCCACAGAAGTGAAGAGCTAAGGGACTACAAAATCCTGCTCTGGAGACCCTCTGCTGTTACCAAAACTGTGTGAAGGTGGATGTAGGGTGGACAAGCCAGGCCTGCAGTCGGATGGGTTGCTGTCCCACAGTAGTTGCAGGAGGGATTTGCTTCTGTTTTTCTAGCTGCTGTGAAGAGCCACTGAGCCCCTGCAGGTCTGCATCCCCAAAAATGCAACTGCTGTGCACCAGCAGAGCCCCAGGAGAGCTGTGTGCCACCCTGTCCCACCCACAGCCCTGACTCATGCAGTGCAGAGGAGGCGGGAGCCGTGGAGCCACGGCTGAGGGCGCTGCCATGGGACCCGGCCCAGGGGATCTGTCCCTGAGCTCGGTCTGTCACCTGCGCCCTTTTCTTACAGAGACTGCCCGCCATGTCGAACTGCACAGAAATCAGCAGCGCGTTGCAGGATCGTGTGATGCTATTTCAGCTGATTGTCTACATCCCAGTCCTCGTTCTGGGGCTCCTGCTGAACACCATCGCCTTCTGGGTCTTCTGCTGCAAACTCAAGAGATGGACTGAGACCCGGGTGTACATGATCAACCTCATGTTTGCAGACTGCTCCCTGCTCTTCACCCTGCCTTTCCTGATATATTTTACCAAGAACAAACATCCCATAGACAAGCTGTGTTTTGCCATTGAGGTGATACATTTTACAAACAGTCCTATGAGCATCTTCATCATCATGCTGATTGCCATCGATCGATACATTGCAATCAAGTTCCCTTTGAAAGCAAAAACTCTTCGATCCCCACTGAAATCAGCCTGTATCTGCGGGTTCCTTTGGATAATGCAAATAGGTTATTCCTACATGAACATGGTTTCTAAACAGAAGAATGAACATTTTTGCTTTCAGAAACATTCTACTCAGCCTGCATATTTAATATCATTCTCCATTTGCTTTTGGTATTTTATTCCCCTATTGACCATAATTTTTTGTTCCATACAGGTCATCAGATGTCTCAGAAAGAAGATGGCCAGCAGCCACCATGAGACAAAGCTAATCCAGAAAGCGATCCACATTATTTTTGTCAATCTGTGTGTGTTCATCTTATGTTTTTCACCTATCTACATTGCATTACTTCTGCGACTCGCAGCGGAGCTAGCTGGAGCTTGTCACCTGCTTTCAAAATTTAGGGTTTCTATTCAGATCCTTTCATGCTTAGCCAATTCCAACTGCTGCCTCGATGCATTCTGCTATTACTTTGCAGCCAAGGAAAGTCAGGAATTTCCCTCTCTGCTCCCCACTTGTATATCATTGAGGTCTAAGATGAACCAAAGCCAAGAGTCACAGCAACCCACAGATCAAGTCACACCATAGAAAAAGGACAGTGCACTATAGACATTAAGACCAAACTGCTGCACAGGTTCTGAGGCAGAGGGAATGGGACCACTTGCAATTGCTCTGGTATGGGCATTTCTGTAGAAAGGGGTTTGATAATAACTTGAATTTTGTCCTGCTGCTCTCACACTTAAATGCAGCTCAGATCATTGCCTTCAATAATTGCATCACAGGTTCAGGTGTCTCCTTGTCAACAGAGAGATCCCCTGGTACAGAGAATAGCTGATAAAGCCATTGTTTTGACCACGCACTTTGTTGTACATACCATGCAGCTTAACATAAGAAACTTAGCACTGTTACAGCAATGTATAAAGCCACTCCTACTACTGTAATTTTTGGTCATTAAAATAAGGGAAAAGCTACTCCAGTACAATGCCTAGCCTAATACATCTGTGTCAAAGGATTTGCCTGGTTTCTTGCCCAGCTGCAAAATCTCAGTGCCTGCAGCTATCAGCAGGATGCTGGCTCTCATTCAATCTGACTGGCCTGTAGCTCCACTGATCCTTCCACCGGCTGTTGTGGATGGGCATTGCACTAGGTAACCTCCAGTCAACTGCAGTCTCTCCAGTTGGCCAGAACTGCTGGTAAGTTATTGACAGTGGCTTGGTGAGCACTTCTGGCAGCTCATTCTGTACCTTAGTCCACAAATGTCCAATCTTTTGACTTGCCTGGGCTGCACTGAGTGAAGAGGAATTGTCTTGAGTTGCATATACATAGGTTGCACCAAAAGTAACATCTCCTATTTATTTTCATGGAAAAAACACCTACGAAGAGCACAGTAACACTATTTGACAGAGCAAATTCTCAGCTACAAAACACTATTTATCATCACAGTCATCACCATCAGTCTTGCACTGTCACCAGCAATGAACAGGAGCCTGAATGCCACATTCCCCAAAGCACCTTCATGGAGAGATCTCCTCCAAGTCCAGAGGAGACATGATCAGACTTTTCACTGAGTTGAATGTCTGATTGCAACTCTATACATTTCATTTGAAAATTCACAGGTAATGTATTTATGCCAATTGAAAATAGAATTGTGAATATATCAAAAACTTGAAGGTTTTTTTCAGCAATCTTGAAACCTGTTCTCAAATTCCTGTATCAGAATGGAAAGCACGGTTGCGTATTTTTCTCTATTCTCAGGACTTTGCTTAACCACTGTATTAAAATGCAAACAATTATTTGCTGTCACTTGGGTTAGCACTGCTCTGTGCCCTCCATGTGCTCTGATTGGAGCCCAGACAGTGTTGGTAGGACACATGTTGCTGAGCTATGGGTGCATGCTTGGGGCCAGGTTGTGCTGCTTGGAGGAGCAGAGCTGTTGCCATAATGGTGTGGGATTGAGGGCGGCCTCAGGACGGGCTGTGCTGGGCCTCGTGTGAGCTGTGAGCCACGGGCTGGACATAGTGCCCTAAGATGATCCCATCTGGCCCCACAGGTCTGTGCGTGCTCAAGTGGTGTAGTCACAAGTCACCTCCCCATGGATTACAAGGACTTCATTCTGCTCCACATCTCTGTGCTCAGCCAGGCTGGCCCTCTTCCCTGCTCACTCATTTTTGATACAAAGGGGCAGCCTGCTCCTGTGCATTCAGGATTTCATTCCAGAAGAATATCTAGCCTTCCTGGACTCCTCTGTCCTTTAGAACTAACTCCAGAGGGACTCTGTCAACCAGGTCCCCAAAATAAACCAAACTATATCCTTTGAAAATCCAAAGATCGTATCTGCCAAGGTCATCCCAGTCTCATGATGGGACTTCCCAAAACCAAAACAAGGTTGCATCACGCAGGGCAGTTCTGAGAAGCCGTCAGCCACGGCTCTACCACAACTTCCACCGAAAGGCCTCGCAAAGCCCACCCACATCAGGCTTCCTCTGAAAACTCTTTGTGGAGTGACCAGGGCTGCATCTACATTGCATGGCACACTGCTGTCTTCTGGGTCCTGACTGTCCTACAGCATGACACAAAACCCTCTATGGTGTTCACTGGAGGAGCAATTCATGAAAATGATAATGTGGTGATACACAAATCTTTGCCATCTCCCAGCACAGGAATCTGGGTGATGACAGCAGGAAGCAGCAGCCACAGCCTTTCAGTAGCTCTGACAAGCAGGGCTGGCACTTTGCTAAGCTTTTTGTTAAATCTAAAGAGGCTTGTAACTGGCACTGTACCTTTTGGTACAGAAAGTAACTGTCCTTTTGCTAGAATGAAAAGAAGATAGAATCAGCGGAAAAAGTGTGCAAACCACTCTTACTCTATAAGGTGATGTCTGCTAAAGTCAGCATGAAGCCCTTTGCTCCAGGCTTTACTGGGAAAGGCCTCCTGATCTCAGATGTGGGTTCTCTACCCTTTCCTGCCACGTCACATGTTGCTTTTGTATGTCAGTGAGACTCTGTTAGACCACACACCGCCTTTAAATACATTTTAAAATGTCTTTGAAAACTGCAGTGGTCCACTGCACTTCTGCATTGCTGTCTCTGGGCCAAAATAGGAGGTGAGGAAAAGATGGGAGGGGCAGGGCTGGGGGAAGAATAGGTGGATGCACACAGGAAATTTGGGCTGGCTCTGATCCCACCATCTGCAGGTCCAGCCAGGGCTGGTTTCATGGCCTCTGCACAACTGATGGCTCTTAGTTCATCCAGACCCTCCTATTCATGGAGTTCTCTGTACAGGAGGGACATGGACCTGTTGGAACACATCCAGAGGACGGCCACAAAATTGATCCAAGGGACGGAACATCTCTCCTGTGAGGACAGACTGAGAGAGCTGGGGCTGTTCAGCCTGGAGAGGAGAAGGCTGTGAGGTGACCTGTTAGTGGCCTGCCAGTATCTTAAGGGGAGATACAGGAAAGAAGAGAGCAGACTCTTTAGCAGGGTCTGTGATGATAAAAACAAGGGGAAATGGTTTCAAGCTTAAAGGGGGGAGATTTAGGTTGCATATAAGGAAAAAGTCTTACAGTAAGGGTGGTGAGACACAGGAACAGGTTGCCCAGAGATATGGTGGATGCCCTGATTCTGGAGACTCTCAAGGCAAGGCCCTTGGGCAAGCTGATGGATGCCCCTTTTAGTGCAGGGGAGTTGGATTAGGTGATCTTTGAAGGTCCCTTCCAACACTGAGGATTCTATGATTCTATGATTTATAGCCACCAATTCTGACATCTGCATCCACTGAGACATGCATCGCATTCAGGATCCCATAGTTTTGCAGGGCACTGTGCCTGTTTGTACACACCACACGCTGTTTGGAACCAACCCTCCCTAAATACCTGTGTCCCCAGCACATGCACAGAGTGAGGTGCATAAACATTGCTATTTCAAACAAAAGGTTAATCTCACTAACATTTGAACATCCAAACACAAGCATTGCCCAGCAGTTTCCAAGGGAAGGAGATAGACGAGCTGAACCCTTCAGTGTTTGTGCTCAGTGTTGGTGTGGCTGGAGGGTCAAAGCTGGGTTACAGCACAAAGCAGCCTGTGAGTGTGTTATCTGCCACCGTTTGTTCCTGTGTGGTTCTGAGGACAGAGAAAAGGGAAGCAGACAGCAGCCAGGCTCGCTCATGACATGGGGCTGATGCAATTAACACTGCTGTTTCACAGGCTTCCCATGCTAAAAATAGCACTGATGTGCTCTGCTCCCAAACCCATAGCTTCATTTTGATCAACACCTATTGTTGCAATCTCTCCTTTCCCATTAGAAAATCAGAGAAGGAAAGACGCTGCGCAAGAAGCTTGCGGAGCCTGAATGCAGCAGGGCAAGGCAGTGTCCTGCTGCATGTGGGGAAGGGACGCTGGTACCTCCCTCACCTTTGCCCAGGCCCTGTCCTGCTGCCATGTGCCAGGCCTTGCACACCTGAGCTAGCAGAGCTGTACCAGAAGCATGGGTGAGCACCCAGGGCGAGCCTGGGGAGGGCTCTGTTTGGCTGTGGATCAGCTTCAAGTCAGACACCAGGCAGAGCTTATGGAGGAAGGAAAAAGTGATTGTTCAGTACAGAAATAAGTCTTAGAGCTCAGGAAGTGTAAAGATCAAATAGCTCTCAGCAATAAATCAGGGCGATGGGTATTTAAACAGTTAGGAGACATTCTCTCCTTAAACAAAAAAGCTGCTTACACATATGAATCATGAGCAGAAGGGAGCAAATCACCCAATGCTTCTGTTGAAACAAACAACAAAAGTGACATGGAAATGATGTCATTTAGGGATCAAATAGCTGGGTGTACTAACAGGTCAGCAACTGCTTGTAGGATCTGCAAAGAGGGAGAATGGGAAGCATCAGGAGAAGTATTTAAGCTAAGCTCTATAATAACTACACGGTAGCAAGGTGTAAAGCTCAGAGGCTGATTTGCAATGCACAGACAGACAATGCACAAATACTCCAGAAGCTACTCTTTGACCTGAAAGCAGGTCTTAAGATCTTAGAAGCAGAAAGTTGGAAGGGTTTGCCCAAGACAGCAACTCAAGGTACCAATAGCAGGACCACTGAGCTTGCTGAGCCCCTCACCTGAGCTCTTCCTGCAGGTGGACTTACAATGGATGGCTATCATGGAGCCCCTGGCCAAGAGGTGCCTGTACCACAGGGCAGATGTGAATTCTGGGGGTCAAAGGGTCACCGTGCCAGGTTTTCTCATAATTACTGGTTGACAAGAACTGTGGAAGAGAAGAGTATTACTGTGATTCAGACTGAAACACGCTTACGAAAAACACAAAACTGTCTGCAAACCTTTGCCTTCAGCACTCCCACAGCTGGGTGAATGGGACTAGGAGTCCACCAAGGCTGCTCCGTCCTGGGGCTCAGCACAGTGAGCAGCAGGCAGCAGAGAGAGGATCTCAGGGACCCTCCAGGACAACATGTTCTCTTCAGGCAGCGCGCACAGCCTGTTGGGCAAGAAAGGTTGATGGATGCCAGCGAGCCATTGGGCATTGGAAGTGAATTGAAGGAAAAACCCGAAGTCACTCCATCGACAGAGGAACGTCTGCAGGACCACATGGCATATGAATGTTTCATCTCACCACAGGGCTACTACATGGGCTCCTCAGTCAATAGGGGGTGGTGTGAGCCATAGCAGCGGCAGCAGCAGAGGAAGCTCTGCCCCGGGGAAATGCATTGAGGAGGGGTGGGGATGCTTCCTCCACCAGCGTTGTTGCTGCCACAGCCACCTTCAAGTGGTCATCGCAGAACACCTCAGTGGTCACATGCTGGGAGGGCTCAGCACACTGCACGCTGCACCACGGCCGGACTGGAGGAACATTGGACTTCTGGAAGGACAACGAGCGAGCAGGTAATCCATCCTGGTTATTTGTTGGCATGGTTACTGGAGCTCTGTAAGGCATTGCCTTTCTCCATCCATGGCGGGACACCCAAATGGTGGTGGAGAAACTGGGAGAGGGATGGAGCCTGTGCATGTTCAAATCTCAGTTTGATACTAGCCACAGTAGACATGCTGTAGATGCTAAAGGGTAGCCTCTGCCTTTGCTAAACCTCACCATTGTCTATTACAATTTACCCATTTCCCTTATTTCTTCCGGTCTCAAAATGTTCCTTGTGTCCAAAACACAGAGCTGCTGCAGGTACCCACAGTGCACGTTCCCTCACAGCAGGATTGCTTGGTAGAACAATTTTCAAAGCTGGTTGAGAGCTGCAGCTCCCGCAGAGGCTGCTGCACCGCTGTAGAGATGGCTCAGCCAGAATGCTTTGGAGCTCAGAGAATCTGCACACACAGAGCCACGTTTCCTTCACAGGGAAACTCCACAGACATCTCAGACCTCCCGGGGTTTTTGTGGCCATGTCTCACAGGGCAGCACAGAATATGAACCTGTATTAACTCTTCCAAAGCAGGAAGGCAAGAAGCAGCGTGGCCCTTTGGGTGGAAAAACACCCACCAGATCATGTTCAGCTCACCACTGTATTTCACATAGTTTTTCGCATCTCTTGCCATGCCTTTTTTTTCTTGCACTTTGGCAGATTGCTCTGTTACCTCAGAGGTTAAGACCAACTTTCACAGTCCTCGAAAGACAGCGTGCAGCCCACAGACCTATCTCTGATTCTTGCTGCAGACAACAAAATGTTATGACTAAATATAGGATTCAGTGGCAGCTAAAATAATGAGAGATAGATGAATAACGGCTCTTTGCACTAATAAGAAGTGATGACAGCACAGGATCGAAGGAGAGGACAGCTGTCTCTTTGCAGCACGTCTCCCAGAGCATTCTGAGCAGTGAGAATGCTGGCTGGCTTCTTGTGAGCACCACTATGATGGGAGGGATGAGACCCAAGTTTAGGCATCCCTTTCCCATTGCCAAATGAGCTGTAACAGTTCACATAACTCCCAGCTGCAGGATACCTGCTTCTGGCTCATCTGAGTCTGGCCCAAAACAGAAGCACAATCGTTTTCCAGCCTTGCCCTCTGCTAGCCATTTGCCTTGTGTGGGATGCAGTGAGAGTTGCTTTTCGCCCCTCCACAACTGACCAGGCTCATGTCCCATCTTATCTCTTCCCACCAGGTGCCCCGTAGACAGTTCTGCTCTGCAGTATCATCTGCTCCGTCTCATTTTCACTGCTGTAAATCCCTGAGGCCCATGAAGTACTATCTGAATTAATCACCGATTCAGTCATAGTCTAGCTTCTAAAAAATATAATCTGCTTTTCTAGGAACTGTGCCTCTTAATATCTCCAAGATGAACCAGAGCGGCTGCAATATCACAGCTGACAAAAACTTTCCACTTGTCCAGCTGTGTGTTTACATCCCAGTGTTGCTGCTGGGTGTTTTGCTGAACGTATTGGCACTATGGGTGTTCTGCTGCAAGCTCGGCAAGTGGACAGAAACCAGAGTGTACATGGTGAACCTGGCTGCAGCTGACTGCTTGCTGCTCTTTACTTTACCTTTTAAAACATTATCCCAGTTCCAGCAGATGAAGGCAGACAGATGGTGCCTGATTCTGGAAGGCGGCTATTTCATCAATCGCTTAATGAGCATTGGTATCATCACTGTTGTAGCAGCCGACCGGTACGTGGCTATCAAGTATCCCTTGAAAGCCAAAGCACTGCGGTCACCACTGCAGGCAGCTTTTACATCTGGATTTCTTTGGATAGTCATCATCTGCGTGATTTCCCTCATTAAAACGGTGGAAAACCGAGAGCATGATGAATTTTGCTTTGAGAAATCTTCTGTCAAGCCATCCGTCATCACGCTGTGTGCTATTATTGGAGGGTTCTTCATACCACTGATCGTCGTGATTTACTGCTCCACACAAGTCATCGCAGAGCTCATGAGAAAGAAAAACGACAACTGCCACGAGGAAAGGTTAATCAGGAAGGCTGTCTACATCGTGACAGCAAACATGGCTGTGTTTATCGTATGCTTTTTGCCTGTTTACGCTGGGCATCTCCTTCGCTTTCTAATGGACTCCTTCAGCCTCAGCTGCCCTGCGATACAGAAGGTTAACAACTTTGTTCACCTTGCCTCGGTCCTCGCCAACACAAACTGCTGCCTGGATGCTATTTGTTACTACTTTGTAAACAAGGAATTTCAGGAAGCGTCTCCCAAACTCGCGAGGTCCAAATCTGACTCAGGCGAAACAGCTGAAGTTCAGCTCCCAGTAATAACACATCAGTGCCAAATGTAGAGGGCTCTCTTTTTGTCTGAGAGTGATGATGGACTTTCTGCTGATGGGAAAGATTCAGACAGGAAAATCAGCCCTCATTCAGACAACCACAGCAGTCTAGATGCTCATGCAACAATCTAGATCATCACTGACAATTCCCAGCCTTATCCAAATCTGAGTAAGATGGAATCATAGAATCCCCATAAACCTCAGCAAGTACAATCAGTGGGGAAAGCTTCTGCTGTCCATCGCCCTATCTTGGGCTAGTTTTGATGTAGCTGCAGCTGTGACAAATAAACAGGAATTATTTGAAATTTCAAAAAAGGAAAAAAAATCTCAAAGTGAAACCGTTGCAGAAAAAGTAAGGTGGGCGGGTCAAGTTTACAGCATTGTTTGCACTGTATGACAGCGATAAAATGGTGATCAGTAGAAATACGGGGTCAGAAGGAGCTGCGATCATTTGTATAGGGGAGAAAGCTTCACACTGACTGTATCTGAGTCAAACTGCATTAAAAATACTATCCAAAGAGCTGGGGTGGGTGGGAATGACAACTCTGTAAATGGAGTCAGTTCAACATTATAGTGTAAATAATTATCTAAAGAAAGTAGCAACAAATTCTTCCAAAGTATCCAATCTAAATAAATTTGCATTACTGGCAATGAGCTCTTCCTCTTAAAGAGCTAAATGGAAACATTGGAGGATCCGGTGGTGATGGGACCCACTTTGCTCTCTGTCCCTGATGGGGGCAGCTCATGGCCTCTGCTGCCTACACCACGAGCAGGGAGCATGGGCTGCAACACAGACTGGGATCTTCAAAGGCTGAGCACTGCAGGAACCCATGATGCACTTACAAACAGCAAGGGAGACAAAACAACTAACCAGTCCCCCCGTAACGATGCTCAAACAGCAGCATGTGCTCTGAAGTGGGATGTGCAAACCAGCTGCACACCTCCACCCATATCTCCTGAGCCTAGGCTGAGCTTCCAGCTGCCTGCAGGCTGAGCCCTGCTGCTGCCTTCCAGTCCCACATCCAGCTCAGCTTTGACTCCTGCTCAAGAAAAGTGGCAAAAGGAAGAAACCCCTCATGGAGAGACCTTGCTGCAGGCAACCACTGGGCAGAGCCCTCCGTTCACCTGGGCAGGATGGGAGCAAAGGCTGGGCAGCCTCTGGGTACTGCAGCTTCTCACTGCACTTGCCAGAGATTGACAGCAATGGGGAAAGCTGTTCAATCATCATGAAAATCTGCAAGCAGCATCCAGCCTTTGTTCACAGCACAGTGAAGAGTGGGATGACAAGAGGTTCTGATGACAAAGTGCACCTTTGAAGGAGGCTGGTTTCTCCCTGCTTCTGCTCCCTCCTTTTCTCAGCAAACATCAAAGCACTGTGTGCACAGTTAGGTATCTCCTCCCCCCCCAGCTCGAGGTGCAGTGAGGCCCTAGCCCTGTGTGCTGACAGGTCTCCTGCACTGCTGCACTGACATATGCACAGAATACTTCTGTGAGTTCAGTTTGATGGGTTTATCCCTAATAAAAATTAACAGATTTTCAAGATTCACTCCTCTGTGTGGGATTTGTGTGCTGAGGGAGCAGGTTTGGAAGAATAGCAGATTGCCAGTGTTTTCTCTGCACCTGCAGCCTCACTGACACAAGTGCAAGCTGTTCAGAGGTGAAAGCACTGAACAAACCAAACAGTTATTTTAGATGCAGCAGGAAAAAAAATACTGCTCCCCCGCTAACCACTAATTAAATGGGTGGAGGAGACACAAAGCTGACTACAAAGTATTTTCAGCAGATTCTGCTCAGCCGTCTCGCTCTAAGTAACACCCCTTCCTCCAGCAGCTGCTTGCACAAAATATGCACCATGAACACTTATCCAGATGGCCAAACTCTAATCACACGAGCCTCAAATCAAGGTGTGAGGAGCACACAGTGGAAAGGCCTCAGATGCTCACTGGGGCTGCGGATGAGACAGTCAGGCTGTGCTGGAGTGGGGTGGTGCTGTCCCTCTCAAACAGGCCCCAAATCTCTGTTCTGAACTGTTTGACAGGGCTATCCAGGGGGAGTTGTGGGCAGACAGGGATTTGGTTGTGCTGGGGCTGAGATATGTGGCACATGCACCAAGTGCATGATGGAGAAACATATTCCATCTCTCCAGCCAGAATACTAGATTGCTCTGTTCAGCTTGCTTGCCTTTTCCACCTAGAGCTTTTGAGCTTCCTTCCAAACCTGTAACCATCTGGCCAAGCTCATGTGGAAGGTTTAAGGGATGTATCAAGCAGTGAGGAAGCAGCAGCAATTTCCTATTTTCCAGCACCTCTGGTGAGCTCAGTAACCACCAGAAGATGAGGGGAACATGACCGCTTGTTGACAAGATACCAATTCATCTACCGTGGCCTGAAAGAAAGCAATTCTGTACTCAGAAAGTGCTGGCACACTGGAACAGGCTGCCCAAAGAAGCTGTGCCCCAGCCCTGGAGCCTTTGGTTGGATGGGGACCTGGGCAGCCTGATCTGGTGGAGGGCAACCAGCCCAAGGCAGGGGAAATGACTGGGCATTAAGTTCCTTCCAACCCAAATCATTCTATGATTGTATGAGGGCAGCCAGCTCACACTCCACACAAGCACTGAATGGACAGGTTACCAAAATCAAATCACCTGACAGCACACACAGAGCTGCTGCAGCACACCAGAGGTGGCTGCACAAGCTGGTACACAGGCACACCATGGGATAACATCCAAAATAACCTCCAGCTTTCATGCTGTCACTCACTGAGGTCTGGTGATGTCTCACACCAATTTTCCTGCCTGGGGCTTTCCATTGTTGTCACACTTTAACTGAACCCTGCTGCCAAGCACAGTTGGGGCAGCTGACTGAAAAATGAGAGTTCAACTGAATGTCAGGTGCAAGGGGAAAGTGCAAAAGCTCTCTCCAAGAGACTATGACACATTTCAGAGATGCCTTCATCAAAGACAGAAAGAGGGCACTGCTGAGGAAGTGAAAATCAGGGTGGCTCACAGTTGTTAGCCCAACTCAGAAGCATTCCTGTGTGCCTCAGTTTCTGAATGAGGGCTCAGAACCATCACTGAGTCACTGCGATGGGAGTAGCTGTCCCACATGGCAGCTCACACACCGGCCGGGGATAGCATCAGTCACCATGTGCTCCTTGCCCTCCATGAAGGCACTAACAGGCTGCAGCACCTCATCTGCCTGAAATACAGTGCTCTGCCAGCAGCTTTACCAGCTTCAAAGCTCTCATGTCACTTTTCTCTGGCAATTATTTCTACCAGTGTAGACCTCCTGGTCCTCAGTTTTCAAGCCAGCTAGGAGTTTGTTTTAGGTTAGATTGAAGTTTGGCACAGATATCTCAAGCAAGACTGTTATCAGCTCAAACAACTTTGTAGGTCTTTTGGCCTTGTGGGTGTCACAGCTCAAAGCCACTTGTTAGCCCATAAAAATGGGATCCACCACATCTCCACCAGAAGTCACGTTGCACCAAGCAGGAACGGAAGGACTTTCTCTGGGGCCCCTCAGAGAGGCCCTACTTCATGTCTCCAGCACAGACGCGTGTTTCAGATGGGCAGGACATCAGTATGCACACCCATGTGGATTGCATTGCTCCTTCACATTGCCAGAGCCATTTCATAGCCTGCTTAAGTTTATACTGCTGTCTGTACCAAGGATTATTTGACCATTTCTTCTGAGAACAGCCCTGGGTGGTGGAAGGAAGGGAACTGCACAATCTCATCTAGCTTCACAGCAAAGGCAGCAACGGACAGCTGCTCAGCAGCCAGCACAGGCAGGGCAGCACCAGCAGGAGCTGCTAACGGCCAGCAGTGATCTTGGGGCAGGAAAAAAGAGATTCCTCTTCAATCTGCACTGTTACAGTAAGATCAATAATATAAACACAGCTGATGTTCAACGCTCTTCCATTTCTCTCAATGGCAACTGTGTAATTACAGAAGAATTAAGGCCTTAATTTTAATCACTGCAGGGCTGCTCGCTTTCAGGTGCTGGCCAATGACCCTATTGAGTGGCACTACCCATGACCTCAGGGGCCTCGTTCCCACCCCCAGCAGCAGGCAAACCCCAGGGACTGGCGGTGCAGCCAGAAGGAGAGCACCTGCTGGACATCTGTGACTTCTCTGGTGGGTGGATGGTGGATGTACCCCCTTTAGGAAGAGCAGATGATACTTTTGGTTGGCAGAGCAGCACAGGGTGACCCAAGATCGGGAAACCCAAGGCCAATTTTTCTCCAGCGGTGTATTTCAACACTTCCCTCTTCCTCATAGACACGCACCCCCCTGGTATCTCACTCTAGATTCCCTTGAAATATTTCCCTATTCAGATGTTACTTTGTTTTCTTCTTTTTTTTCTTTTTCTTTTTTTTTTTTTTTTTTTTTTCCAAAAATGATGGGAAGAGGAGTTGCTCTGCTTTCAGACAGGGCTGTGTGAAATAAAGATGCTAAATAACATTTCTCACTTTTGTGCTTAGCCAAGTTCCTTCCATTTTCAGCTCCCACATCGTACATCACCCAGTAATACAGAAGGAGAAACCACAAGAGCTTCTTCTCATGCACCTGAAACTGTGCTGGGGAGTTGATAGGAAGCAAAATAAACAAACAAAAAAGCAAACACAACAAATGCAAGAAAAAAGAATTCTGCAAGCAGTACCTTACTCCTATCTGTCTTTAGCACTGCCTCTCACATTCTTTCCCACTTCAGGGGGAATGCATGCAAGTGGAAACCATGCACTTTCTCTTATCAGGAAGATGAATTCACAGGTAAGAGCAGTAGCTGCTAGAACTTGTTCTCAGGCCTGTATTTACCCTCATGCTATTGAACATGTTTATAACCTGTGCTGACACAGGCAGCAGGGAGCCTTGGTGTCATGAAAATCCAGCACTTTTCTCTAAAAGCAGCATTAGTGCTATTTCTGCAGTAACCTCACCCAGCTTTCCAATGTCAGCAAAGGCCAGCAGCTTCCATCAGACACTAACACAGGGCCAGCATGGTTTCACAAAACCTCTAATCACTTTATGCTTAAGCAGGCACCAGGACAGTGCCTTGTGGTTGTTGTACCTTGTGCCAATGGTTGTTGCACATCTGCTCCTCCAAGCTGCCCATCTTCAACAACAAGCACACCAGGAGAAGTCCCAACTCCAGTGATCAGGTCATTTTTTCTGCCCTGGTTTAGTGCTGAGTTCCACAGTCAACATGGCACCAATGTGCAGTATAGGAGTGGAGCCAATCTTCCAGCTTCCTTATCTGCCCCTTTGCTTCTCCACCTTGTGCCAGAGCAGCCTATGTCTGACCAGCAAAGCTCAGGCT